GGATGAGCTGCTTCCAAAATTAAAACATCCATCTGTGGCAGTTAAAGAAGTGAGAGGTAGATTCGAATATCATATCAAATAAAGAGATTTTTGGAGACAGCTCTTCGAACAATAAGTTATGATGATGTCCCTTGCCTGGCGATGGTACTTCTGAAGATATGGCCGCGGTGATCTCGCAATAAAGTAGAAAGTTAATATCAGTTGTGCATGCACTCTTCTGGCATCCTGATAAGTTCTTTACTCGTTTTGACAAAACATATGCGAAGAGGATCGCCCGCAAATAACTGACGGGATTCTTATTATATATAAAAACAGCTCAAGTCAGTCCCACAAGGGGAGAAATATGAATTGCTGTTTCGTTGAAAAGTCATCATAATCCTGATAGCGTACGGTATTAGACAAAATGAAATCGTTGGCAGCTTTCTTTTAGGTTCGCAGGTAGTTTCTTTATCGGCTATCACGTTCTTCAACTATTCAAACATTTGTCAACTTTGGCGAATATTACGATGTTATCTTTTCCTAATATTTGTATTATCTCTCCCTTGAAAACTTATTTCGATTACATTTCAAAGCTCTTTGTTACAATAAAAAACATTGTCATTAATTGATCTTGTTGTTGTCCTTATTCTGTTGGAAAAATTATCGCTACCTAAATTTAAATAACACTAGTTGAGTATTACTTAATCGGGGTAAGAATTACCTGACCCGCGGTACTCAGTTTACGCAAAGTTACACTTGGGGATCTAAGCGTCTAGTGGACTGTTTTGACTCTTTATGAAACAAGTAGCCTAAAGATTAGTCAAGAATTCTGCGTCAAACAAAGTATTTCACCGAAAGGACAGCGTTTACAGCGAGAGCAATTCGACGAAACCGTATTTTGCGTGACGAATACTGAGTGACCACATGGCGTCAATTGCATTAGCAGTCATAATTTATGCGTTGTGCTCTTCTCGGCACGGTGATCTATTTGACATTTTACAGGCCACCCATTTGACAGAGACTGCATTTCGAGTTGTGAGTTAAAACGCCTAATGATCTGTTCACCGAGAGCAGAACGTGGAATCGCTAGTTTGCGTGACCCGCAAGTATGAAGACATGGGATATCCTTACCTTATCACGTGAAAGAGGCTCTCTGTCTACTGGACATATTGGAGAATGTCTCCTGAAGGAAGGAAATTTGCAACATAAGACAAATAAAAAATCAGAAAACAAACAAAATCTTTAAAAATTGGTTATCGCGTGTATTATTTATTATCAAGTCATTACTGGGCCACATCCTGTTGCGGAATCCATAATGATGGACTTGTTGCATATAATTAACATTTGCATTAAAAAGACAAATTACAATTAGTTTCAGTCGATTCATGTTTAACAAAGTAAACGAGAAAGATCAAATCATTCGATGACTCTCTTAGATACGCTTGTGCTGAAGAAATCGAAGACACCTAAAAGGCAGCCAACAAATATTTGATAAAATATTTGATAGCTTTCCGTCGCATTCATAAGTACTCACAGTGACCTCGAACCTGTTTGAATTAATTTTTGCCAGACAAAGCTATCTAGAAGTTACCTCTCTATAACTGAGACACACTATGATACCCCTTGGAAAGTGACTCAACCGGTCAATATCGTCATTCAACTTTCAAGTAAGCTTGATTGTTTTCAGATGTAGCTTGTTTCGACATACAATGATTCGCCTTTACCTCAACAAGCTCTCTAAGCATGTGTTACAAAGTCTGTGGCCACATCCTCCAATCTGTATGGGATCTTTTAATGTCAACTGACAGACAGGGCATTCAAAATCATCGGGAACTACACTTATAAACTCAAAATCATAGCCTCCAAGCTCTGGAATATTCTGGCCCGCCGCCATTGTGATCTGGGTTTCAGAACGAAGCCGGAAGAGAGAATTAGATGTGCGCATGTGTGACTTCCATAGAAACAAACCTAGTTCTCAGACTCTCTGAGACTCAAATTAGGCCCTCTGACTCTAGAACTGGGAAAAATCC